ACAATTTGTACAATCATTAAAAGGGGAAGCTTTTACCTGGTACACATAGTTGGCACTGGGATCAATTATCACATGGGATGATATGTAGCATGTTTTCTGAGCACAATTCATTAGTTTTAAGAGGAAATTTTCTATTATAGACTTAGATGAAACAAAACAAAAGCCAAATGAAAGTGTAAATGAGTTCATTACACGTTGAAGAAACATGAATCTTCAATGTGTTGAATAGTTAAAGGAAATTTCAGTAGTACAAATGTGTGCCAATAATCTTCTGTAGGAGATTACAACTTTTGTAGGTATTGTTGAACCACAATCATTTGATGCATTGATTTCCAAGGTCAATAATGTCAAAAGACAAATTGCTAGGCAAAAGGGTGTTGCAAAGAAATCCAATTCACTTCTAAAAATGAAAAAAATACAACAAGAAGCCTACATGGAAAGGTGAAGCAAAAACCTCTTTTGTTATCTCAAGAAGAAATATAAGGGAAAAGGGAAAAATCCATCTCAAACCTTAACCCTTAAAGAAAAGAAAGAAAAGAAATATTCATTTGATAATGAGGATGTGGAAGGAATTTTTGAAGAATCTCTTAGCATTAAAGGCAATTAAGTTGCTAGAGCCAAAGAGACCATCTGAGGTAAACAAGATAAATGATCCAAAGTATTGTTAATATCATAGGATGGCTAGCCATAGTATCAAAGATTGCTTCATTCTCAAAGATATCATCCAATTAATGATAAATAAGAGAGAAATTGAAATCACGAACCTCCTCCTAAGGAAACTATTGCAGTTGTAAATAATGTTTCTCTATTAAAGGAAAAGGCTCCTACCCTCCATTATATGAATTGATGCAAGAACCAAGTGTGATGTGCTTCATTGATTCTTCTATATTTGAGGATGAAAAAAGTTGGCAAACTATAATCAAGGAGGCAAAAGGGGGTAGTCAAGCCCATACAAATTACACTCTTCAATTCTTCAAGCATTAAATTTTGGGGGAAAAGATCCTTCACAAAGAACAATAAGAATAAAAATAAAAGGAGACACAAGAAAAAAGTTCAAGTTGATTTTGAAGAAGAGTATGAATAACCCCCAAGATTTTCGATCACATTGAAAGAGTACATCCCAAAAGAAATCTTGGAATAAAGTTTTGATGAATTGGAAGTAGCACTATGTTATGTGGCTTCATGTGAAGAAAACGAAAGGACCACTATTGAAAATGAGGTGGATCAAATTACTTTGCTATATAGCCAAATACATAAGAAAGAAAAGAATATAGATGGTCATATCTCCATAGTAGAGAATGAAGAACCAAGAGAGAAAAATGAGTTAGAATTGACTCAACAAGTTCAACAAGACAAGGAAGAAGGCCATAGATTAGAGAATCTAATCAAGGTTCGGCCTTAAGTTAGAAAGCATTGCGAGAAACAAAATTGCACATTAAATATGACATTCTTGCCCATTTGAAGTGCATTCCTGCATTAGTAAGTGTTTATGATGCTCTCCAACTTTCGCTAAAATTGAGAAAGGCATTAAATCAAGCATTGCTTAATCCTAAACAATTTAAAAATGAAGTTAATCGAATTGAAGTACAACCAGAGTCCCCAAAGGTTTGTGCTTCGTATATGGCATGAATATCTTTTTTATGATGAAAACTTACAACTTGGGACGGAATATCACAACCACCCTTTGTATGTATCAGGAGTAATAAGCGATACTCCCATCAATAGAATTCTCTTAGATTGTGGATCTATTGTTAACTTTCTACACTTGAAAACTTTATTGGTTATGGGTATGACACCTTGCCAATTGTCCCCCCATGTTTGACCATTTAAGGGTTTAATCAAGAGGGGCAGAAAGAAATGGGTACCATTGCTCTGAAGATTGAAATTGGGAAGTTATATTCCGATGCTTTGTTTTATGTCATTGATGTAGATACTTTGTATAATATCATTTTAGGACATACATGGTTATACACATATGGAGTTGTGTCATCAATGCTTTAAATTCAATAAAGATGGAGAGGTAAAAAAGTGGTTGCAGATACAGATTCATTTTAAGGAGAAGAAATACATTATGCGGATGCTAAATTTTACAAGTTTGATAATTTTCATTCTTTCCCTTCTTCAAAGGGAGAAGTTAAAGAGAATGTTAAAAGTAGTCTTCAAGAATGCAAATAACCATCAACTTCAAAGATTAAGATTGTTGTATCATTACAGCAGGAAACCAAAAGGAAGCAAAAACCTTACATTGACTCAAAACCTAAAGCTACCTTTAAGTACATTTCAAAAAGCCAAAGGAAATTGGTGCAATAGGCTCTTACATCATTGCAAGAGACCACAATGGCAACATTGATGATAAGTAGTTACATTTGTCCACTTAGGAAGATTGATCAATCCATCTCACACACTCAATTGGTTGTGTCAACTTCCCTTCCTATAAAGGCAAGAAAGAATAAAATGATAGTTCTCCAAAAGTTCAAGCCATTGAGCCACCACTATAATCCTACATGTAGTGATGCGGCACCAACCTCAACAATCCTTATGTTCATAAAACATGAAAAGTCTATTTTCAGCCAAGAGGAGATAAAGCCACGAGTTTTTGTGTTCAAACGACTTGGAAGTTTGAAGAATATATAGAAAAATGAAAAGAAACAAGTCTCTATTTTCAAGGGAACTTGTAATTCCAAACCAAAAGGTCAATAAGGTTGTGTGATGGAGGCCCATCACAAGGCCCATCTCACCCCTAGGGGCGGTAGCCCCAAGGATAAGGATAAGTCTAACCAAGAATCCAAGATTAGTAAGATCCAAGAAGTCAAGATAGACCAAGACTCTTCTAAGACTCATCAAGAATTCAAAGAATCCAAGACTCATCAAGAATTCAAAGAATCCAAGACTCATGAAGAATTCAAAGAATCCAAGACTCATCAAGAATTCAAGAATTCTAGATCATCCAAGATTCATGCATGGATAAGGTCAAGGGAGATCAGATGGTGGAGATCAAGTCAAATCTAATTTCTTTTCCTAGTTCCTTTATAATTTCTCAATGTATTATAAATACTGCTATTTCCCAGAATTATTAATCAATTCATACTTCAGAATTTCTTCAGATTTCCTCTTCAATTTTCACTACCTTTTCTCTCTCCTAGAGAAATCGTGTAGTTTCGCTAGCAACTAGTGATCGCCCGGTGCTTGCATAGCCAGCTCCGGTTTCCATTTCCTCCACGCTACGTCATTGTGGAAAAGAGAGCAACCCAACATTATCATTAAAAAGCTAGAAGATGGTGGATAATTCAAAATAGAAGTCAATTACATCTCCACCAAAAAGCATGAATCCTCACATCTGGATGATCAAGGTATGAACCCTATTCAAGATTCTAATCCTTCAATGGAACTTCAAGGTACAAACCTTAATTGTAATAATTTGCAACAAGTAGTGCCTCAAGAGGATATTCCTCAATCAATTAATCTTTTCCATTAAGATGAAGAAATATAACAAGTTAAAGAGGCTCAACCTGCCCCGTCAAAGCTTGAAGATGGAGGTCAAGCAATAGTAGATAACCTTCAAGAAATCAACCTCGAAAATGTTGAAGACCCCAAGCCCATCTTTGTCAGTGCTCTACACTACAAGAAAAATGACTTTTAGCGGTAGTCAAAACTGCCACTAAAAATCTTAAAAGCTCCCGCTAAAAAGTTTACTAGCAGTCGCTAAATTGCCGCTAAACTAGGTGTCGCTAAAAGGTTCTAGCCGGTAGAACACAGAAAACTGCCGCTATAAATGATCATTAGCGGCAGTCGCGACTGCTGCTAAGGCAGCCACAATACTGCCGCTAAATCTCTACTTTTTTTAACCAAAACAACCTGGAAATTGTTACTAATAACCTATAATTTAATTGTAATTGGCTACAAATCTCATTTATTAAATAAACTTGTAATTTTATTCATCCAAATTAAAATTCAATAAAAAATAACTTGTTTCTTTTATTGACAACCTTTGGAACTTTAATCTTACAAGAAAGAATAGAAAGAAAATTTATTTTCATTAGTCTCTACATGCATAGTATACTACAACAGTCTTCAAACTCTCTTCCTCTTCTTGTCTTCTCATATAGACAATGCTTCATATCTTCACTGTCTTCTTGATTTTCTTGATGGATGACTTGGTAAAGTTGTTGTCATGGACTTAATGTGTTCTTCAAACTGCTCTCTCATGTCTTCTTCTATTTCTTTTTGTATTTTCTGTTGATCAAAATAGTAACCAACTTTAGATGCTTTCTACTCTTCTTCAAAGACTCTCATGTTTAGTTTCTGCAGTTTGAATGTTCCCTTGCTTTGCTGAGACTTTGAATTAGTGACCGACCACCTTTGGTTGTGGTAGTGATAGTGATATCCAGAAATGAGAGGATGTCCAACGATGAAGCCAGCTCCAGGCTGAATTCGGTTCTTCCAAATCATACTGAATGTGTAGAAACATCACAGCAGATGATGAAGAAAGAAGCTAGATGAAAAAAAAAAGGCAAATCAATTCAATTCATACCCTTAGACAATGAGAAAAAAGCATAATGGACAAAAATCAGTGGAAATGGTAACCAAATCTAACCCTGTCATGCTTCTTGGAGCATGATTACAAGCTGCATCCAACCAAGGAAAATATGTTCAAATTCAAAGGCATAACTGGATCGGGGAGGGAAAATTATTAAGGGAATTAGTAGAAGAAAAGCCCTATGCCCTTGCAGCATAGGAGCATCCAATTCTGTTCACCAAATCAAGGATATATAATAAGTAAAAGAGAAGTTTCACAATCTTCAAGACTAATAATTACTTTTAATCTTCTAATAGAATAATCATTTTAATAAGCAGTTGATTTTACTTTTACAAAAACAGTAAATTTAATATTACTGCAGCTTGAGTGATAATACAGAATAGCAGTAAAAATTTACAAAAGCAGTTGAAGACAACTGTAACAACTCCTCTATCTACTTCAATGTGTCGTGTACATTTTCGACTTTGTTGTTTTATTCTCAATGAATAAACTACGTTTCTCCTCCGAAAATCACCTCTGCCTATCTCTGAATTCTACTTCTCTGCGCTTTTCCTCCCAAAATCACCTTTGCGTATCTCTACGTTTCTCCTCCGAAAATCACCCCTGCGTTTCTCGGAGTCCTGCTTCTCTGCCTTCGCTGTTGCTACATGAAGTCATTGCAAATGCTGAAGAGTTGCCGTTGCCGTCCTCCATCTGTTGCCGGCACCATTGATCATCTCAGTTGTTGTCGCCGCTCCGTCTAGTTGTCGTCACTGGTCATTTTTTCCTCCATTTAAAGAGTAAGAATCGTTATTTCACTTGACGTTGATCCACCGTTCCTCCGTAATGCACTGATTGTTGCTTATTTTCTCATCTCATTCAAAAAATTTTGCTTCTCATCTTATTGTTTCTCTTGTATTATTATTTCATTCATTTCCTTTTTTTGTTTCTAGTATTTTGGTTTTTTAATCAACTGTGATACCTAGAGTTTTCAGAATCAGAACAGAAACAATTCTTGTTATAGAAGATCTACTCAGTGAATCACTGTAAGTAGTTGATTAATTTTGAATTTCCAGATAACATTGTGTTGTTTTCTATTTCATGAATTTTGCATCCAATTCTGATGGCTTCTTCATTCGGTATTCAATATCTTCTAATGGATCTTGATTAGGCTGAAAAAATAAATATATATTTTTTTAATGAAAGAATTGACTGATAAAATTGGCTCAGATAGGCCAACCTACTATATGGGTTGAACTGAGTTAACTGATGGAAGGTCGCATGCTATTTGATTTATAGGCATAAATCATAACCACTTTCTCGCAAGTTTTGCACCAATGATTCATTTCAATACTGTAACGTTTGGGGTTATAGGGCAATTAGCAATGTAGCTAATTTAAAAAATTCAGTACAGAACAGTTTTGTTATTGGCTTCCCAATAAGCTTTATGCATTCTTCTTGTAAGATACAATTTGGTGCTACCTTCTTCTTACCTGGTTCATATATAGCAGAAATTACCATCTCAAGTCTGAACTGGAGCAATTAATTTCCCACTGACTCTGGGAGCTTTTATCCAGGGGAGATGATGGTTTTTACACTATGGTTGGAGAAGGATTAGGTGCAGGATATAATATAAATGTTCCTTGGGAGCATGGGCGATGTGGTGATGCAGACTACCTGGCAGTTTGGGACTATATTTTGATTCCTGTTGCCAGGGATTTTAATCTAGACATTATCCTAATCTCTTGTGAATTTGATGCAGGTTTGCTCTAGTCATGATAACTGCTAAATCTTCACATTTCTCAGGGCCACCATTATATTCTTTATTTCTTTAGATTTGTATTAAATCGATGAGACCTAGGACCTTTTCATTTACTGAATGGCAGCTATAGGTGGAGGTGGCTGTATATTGTTGTCCTGCCATTTTCCCAAGAACTTGCCAATGGTGAAAACAATCCCTTATTATTTCAGAAGAACAAATTGAGGAAGATTTTTTTCTGCTTTCTGTATTGTATTTATATTGGGAGCCTTCTTAGCTATGTAACCATTGAAGATGTTCCTTGATAATGATGCATTCCATTTGTCAATTTTTTCTAGGAAAACTGTTAAATTTGGGTAATACACGCGTTGCAGTTGCCTCTGCTAACTATTTTCACATATTAAATATCATCGGTCCATCTCTTGGAACAGCCACATGTGAGGTTGTCAAATCACACCATATGGATATTCTGTTATGATGAAAAAGGTTAGCATTCAATTAAACCTGCTCTGTGTGTTCTCTTTCTAAACTTTATACTCGGATTTCAAAATAACTCATTATATTGCCCAGCAAAGTATCTTTCATAACTTTGCACTCTGAAAGTTGTTGTGGAGAATTCCTTCTCTTGCTTTTCATTTGATTTTATTTTTCAATTGCTTTTCAGCTAATGGAGTTTGCTCAGGGAAAGATAGTGATGGCTTTAGAAGGAGGCTATAATCTTGATTCTCTGGTAAATTCGGCGCTGGCATGTGTCAAAGTTTTATTAGAAGATGAGCCTGTAGTTGGAACTTCAGAGGCCTACCCATTTGAGTCGTGGACATGGCGTGTGATACAAAAGGTGATGATATAATGTAGCATTGGTTATTTCTCATTTACTTTTGGTATCTTCACTTCTATTCCTTTTTTGCCAAGTTAACCTTTACTTCTGCTATTATGTTCGCCAAGAATTAAGCCCATTCTGGCCAATATTGGCTGATGAATTACCAAAGACCATTAAGAAGGCAACTCCCATTCAGGTGATACTTTCTTAACTTTTGAACTTTCAACTATATGGATGTGCTTATTGAAGTCAAATTTGCAAAATGAGACCTGTGATAGTCAAATAAGCTGCATTAGCTATATGATTAGACTTTATATTGCATATCTTACTGTTAGGAATCATATATATATACAAGTTTTCTATACATAAATCATAGAGCTGCATTAGCTATATGGTTGGACTTTATATTACAAAAATTTAGGGAGATGCTTTTCCATTAGTAGGAAAAAGGGAATAGATAAGCTTTGAATCATATTGATGAAGGTATATGTGTAATGTACCAAGAAAGGACTATCCTGTATTGTCCAATACAGGAATTTCAGATACCATTCCTAATTGGTTTTGGAAATTGTCTTCTCATATATTCTTTGTAGACCTGTCTCACAACCAAATCCGTGGTAGCTTTCCAGGATTGTCAAGAATACAAGCTGATAGTGCAGCAATATATTTAGGTCACAATCGCTTAACTGGACTACTACCCCATTTCACATCTGGTGTAGTTGAACTCGACCTTTCCAACTACTTGTTTTCTGGGTCTATCACCCATTTCCTTTGTGATCAGTTCAGTGAACCAAATATACTAGAATATCTTGATCTCTCAAACAATCTTCTGTCACTACAGATTCCAGATTGTTGGATGAACTGGCAACCGCTGAATGTGCTGAATCTGGGGTACAACAACCTAAGTGGGAACCTTCCAAAATCCCTTGGTTCTCTAACCGAGCTCCAGTCATTGCACTTGCGTAACAATAGGTTGACTGGAGAGTTACCTTCATCTCTGCAAAATTGCACAGAACTGTTGTTTATCAACATTGGCCAGAATGAATTCTTTGGACCTTTTACATAACAAGTTGTCAGGATCCATACCTCAGTGTTTTAACAACTTCAGTGCCATGGCTTCTGATCAAAAGTCAAGTGGCTATATTGGTTTCTTCAGTTCTACACAGACCCAACACGTTGACAGCCCTACTACCATTAAGATATTGCATAAAATAGTTTTAAGGGGTTGCAACTTTGGACGAATCCACAGACGGCAGACTAACCAAGTCCAGTTCAGGTTAGACCCAGTCGAAAGACCCTATGGGGTTTGGTTTGAAATTAGTTCTGGACATTCTACCATGTCCTGAAGCAAATCCAACCTACATATTTTTTTTTAATGCATACCTACACCTACATTAAAGTTAAGTCATGTTCATATTTTGAATCGAACCTTTACATTTCCAGGTTGGATTTGAGCTAACCCAGCACAAGTTGTAACCTCAGTAATTTAGTGGCCTTGTTTTATAGAAAATGAAGTGGTTGAACTACTCAATGGTTTATTGCTTTGTCTTGAATAAAGTTGAGGTTGGGTTGATTATTATAAATTCCTTAACTGTTGGGTCTGTGTAGAACTGAAGAAACCAAATGGAATTTTTGGAATCCCTTGACTTTTCAGCAAACCAACTTTATGGTGCTATTCCTCAGAGCTTGTCCAATTTGACCTTCTTGAGTCACTTGAACTTGTCAAATAATAATTTGTCAGGAAGAATTCCATCTAGCACACAAATTCAAGGTTTTACTGCATCCAGTTTTCTTGGTAACAAAGGACTCTGTGGACCTCCACTCACAAAAGGCTGCACTGGAGATGATATGTCCCAAATTCCAACGGTTGGTGGTGGTGGTGGTGGAGCTGAAGGAGATAAAGATGACAATGGAGTAGGAGTGGCTGCAGATACTTTTATCATTGCCATGGTTTTGGGGTTTGTGATGGGTTTTTGGGGAGTCTTCGGTCCGATTTTATTCATCAAGTCATTGAGGTTTACATTCTTCCGATTCTTGGATAGAGTGAAACAAAATCTTTGTGGTGGTATGATCAATATTTGTTTTCTTTTTTGTATTTGGATCCTTAGTTTCTGTATTGTTTTGAAACTCATGTAACTTCTCCATAAATGATGTGAAAAGCAGGGTAACCAAGAAAGGACTATCAATGTGCCAAAACCTCAAAAAGAAGCACTCTTGTTATCATCATCTTCAGTGTCGAAGTCTACAGCATTAGTTGAGATCTCTAGTTTGGTGGAATCACCGCAAACTGGTAATCTCACAGTTAGGATTGAGAAAGAAAAGGGAAGACGACGAAGGATTAACAGGAGCTCTTGAGGTTTCAACCAGTCAGAGTGGGAATTCTATTTGTTATTTGTGAAAATTAAATGGTTCATTAAATAACCAGAACTAGTTTGATTTTCATAAAGAAAACCAGAAATTATGACAACAGTTAAATGCCCAAAATTTGAGCCCAAAATAATGGCAGATGGTGTTTTCTTCTATCGTTCTAGAAGAAAAACTTGAATTAGGCTCAAATTGGGTTTAAAAGAAGAGGCAGAATGGTTTATTTCCAAAAATTTTAGGGGCATTTAAGACTTTGTGACATGGTTTTCAAATCTATGTCCAAAGGGTAAAATTGGAAAGAGATGAAAAAAATAACAATTTACCCAGGAAAGTGGGTGTTGCAAAAGAACACGGGAAAATAAGAAACTTCATTTATCTGGGTAAATCAAACAGAAAAGAACATGGGTAAATGTGTTTCTGAAAAAAGAACATGGCCTTAGAGTCGCTTTCAATTACCAATCTGTCATAGTTTAATTAGGTCTCTAGCAATTTGTACTCCTTGCAAGACTGCTTGGAACTCAACATACACCGAGCCCCCTACTCCCACAGGACCTGAAAATACAGCAAGAATGTGCCCTTTAGTATTTCTAAAAACTCCTGTGCCAGCCGGCCCTGAGTTTCCAAGAATATTGCTATCAAACTTTAGCTTGCAGATAAAACCTTCTTTTGGGGGGTATCCAAACTACAACCGGTTTGTCCTTCACAGTAGAACTTCTTGCTACAGCATTGGGAACATAGAAGACATAGAAGAAACATTTTTTATTGTAGTTCATACATTTACATTGGCACAGTGTTCTAAAAATGATTGTAATTGCATTTCTCTCTTGGTCAAACAATTCAACTCGTGTGATGTTATAAATTAAATTTCAGATAACATAGAAGAAAGAGAGGGCTTTAATAAAAAGGGAAACATTTTAGCAGCATGAAACCAGCTGATTTCAGATAACCTGGTTTTATTCCAGAGGACAAACGAGATGTATTTAATTTGGAAGCTTTGTGAGAAGAAAGCAATTGAATGATATAAATTACCTGCGAACTTCTTTCACAGGAAATCATTGCGGAGATTAAGCATTCGGAAGGCAGCATGGAGATTTGTTAAAAACTTCACAACGTTTCTGGGGCAATCATAGTATCCGGCTGTCACTTGGTTCACCACATATCGGGGCTGCCAGTTATCCCATCATCAGTAGTAGAATAATGACAATAAACTGTTTTTCCTTTTCTATACAGTACTTAAAAAATACAACCACACTAGGCTGAGGAAAGAAGAGAGCTATCACCAATCTGCTACCATAGGTCCCCCTCCACATATGAATGTGAATAGTTTATTTCTTCAAGGGTAAAATAAATAAATAAACATCTAGAAGGACAGTTGAAAAAAATCATTTAGAGAAACTGAAGACATAAGGCTAAACTAGAGCTAGTACAGGACTACTTAACTCAGGAGTCAGTCAGGACTACTTACACAAATAAAGTAGAGCTAGTACAAATGTACAATCTGTAAAATATAGTTCCTTTTCTTTCTTTTTTTTTTCTTTAATTTACTTTTTTCATTAAAGCAAATGCAAAAATTAATCAAATTAAAACCAATATATTGGGAAAAGGATTTGCTTGTTAGGTGTAAGAGAGACCATCATTAATTGACAATAAATTGGATTGTGATGGTTTAAGAGAGACCATTTATAACAAAAAGACTTCCCTATAACAAACCATCATTAATAATGTTAGTTTCCTTTTGGGATGCTGACCAATACAAAGCTGTAAATAAACATGGGTTTTACAAACAATCCATGTCACAATTAGTTGACAACTTGAGTTATAAACAGTAGTACCCCAAGAACCACCATGAGGAAGAACATGAAACAGAGATCCCATCACTGCACTACTACAGTTGAGGGCAGCAATTGCACTTTCAGCCTGCAATTAAGGTAATGAAGAATCCGAAGTTATCAATCATGATGAGCATTGAATTCAGAACTTCTAAAACCGGACAGTACGTAACAGTATTCTTACAGAAAAGACGGCTTTTTTGTAATGTAATTAGTTTTATGGGGATCTGTAATTACAAGGAGAGTGACTAATTATTAAATTTAATCCTTAAAAGCTACCATTACAGGAAAACTCAGTAATGGCATTACAGCATATTAAATTTAAATTTGCATTTAATTAACCCTATGACATCAACTCAACTTAGGAATTGATGGGACAAAAATTAGCCAACAAAACCCAAAAAAGGGAACTGAGAAAACTCACCCGAGTAAAAACAGGGTAATCATGAGCTGAGAGCTGAGAGGAAGGCCGTGAAAGAGAGGGAGAAGCAGAGCTAGGGAACCTGCGATTTGCAGGGCTGTTCCCTTTAATCAAAGCAGCATGAAGATCTCTGAGCTCTACAGCTTTGGCAATGGCGACCTGGATTTCTTGCCTAGTAACTTGATGGCGGTCATTGTTGCTGTTCTGAAAGCTTTGAGTAGCAGCTGCAGCAGCTATTAACGAGGAATAGAACAGTAACAACAGAACATAAATACCCCAAAGAAGAGAGTATTTGATGGAGGGTTGGAGAAGCTATCAGAGCAAAGGAGAAGTGCAGTGGAAGACCTCATTGCTTATAGCAATCAATTAGTCAACCAATAGAATTCCCAGGTTTGAACCTCCTTAAGTCCATGTTATGTATTCTTAAAGGAAAACACTAACAAAAGCATGGATTAGCGTGGGTAAATGGTACTATTTTATTGATATATCAGTTACCTTTCCTTTTTTCTGGTTTTCTTACTTTCAGCAGGACTGCACAAGTTATGTTTGGGTTTGGACCTTCATCAAATTATTTTATGTCATATGGCTCTACAAAAGTTGGTGGTAGTAGTAAATTTCAAGCTTTGGGTTCTGATGGTTAGTACACCTCCTTTTGTGGAATTGAGTAACCAACTAGGATAAGGCATATAACCTTTGCAATGTATTTCTGTAGATGGAGCTCATTCATCAGCACGTAGAATGGAGAAAGAATACAAAGAACCCTGGGTAATAAGCAAACAGCAAACACCAACCTGGCTCCATTACCAAAATCTCATAATGTGTATTCCTAATCTATCTATCTTACAGTTTTCCCCTGATGGCTCTGCAGGACTACTCTTACTATCCTGTTACCCTCCCTTTGAGAAGGCCATACTCAGGAGACCCAGGTAAGTTTGAGGCACATCTCAAAAGGCACACTACTTTAAACTCTAAGCACCCCTGTGAATTTTGATTAATATCATCAATCATTTTTAATGATATTAGTTGATGGGCTGTGAGCTTTTCAAGTGTCATCTCTCTCTGATATCATAGTTGAACCCATATGTAATTATATATGAGATAAAGATATATTGGTTGGGCTTGATGACCCCTCTCTTAGTTAGGTCCAGTTCAGATTGAGCCAAACCCAACCCTCTCTTCTCTATCTATGGAACCTCAACATATTCTATCAATCCTGGACCTCGAGAGAATATTCCAACAAAACAGTTTAGAATAACTAATCCATGACAACCCAGACCAGCTGGAGTTAAAGCAATGTGACAAGAGTAATTTTAGAATTGAAAATTATTGAAGAACTTTACAAAATTGAGATCCCACGAAAAGAAGAAGACAACCTTCAAAAGTGACATTTCATGATCTATGGGTTGTCTGTCTCTGGACTCCAGTTGTTGGGTCATGGGTGGCGTTAAGTTCACCACAAAAAAAAAAAAAAAAAAATTCTTAAACAAATATATAACTAAGGGCCTGTTTGTGAGCTGAAAATTAAGCTAAGTTGGTTCTACTGTTTTGAAACACTCCTGATTAATGTATTAAAAGAGACAGGAGAGGACAATCCTTCAAAAGACTGACTGATAACCAATTTGAATTCTTTGGATTTCTCACCAAACAGAAATAATAGGTTGTCTGTGTTAGGGTTACCTCGACTCCTTGATGACTTATTTAGTAAAGGACACAGTAACAAGCCATTCAGTTATGCATGTGCTTGAGTTGAGGATTTCCTTGTAACTGGCCATGAAAAGCTCAAAAGGCACATCTCAAAGCATATCAGAACCTCTTGTGTCCAATGCAAGAAGATCATATCAGAACAATAAACTCTAAGTCAAGAAGATAATTTTTATTGAGAATTCAGAACACAGAGACAATAATACTCTATTGTTCGAATCTAAGCTCATTAAATTCATGCAACAACTATGCAAAACCACAAATATAATTGTGAAAAATAAAATAAAATGATATTCTGAAGAGAAAGGCCAAGTAGAAATAGTGTCAAACTCTTAGAAATGATTCCAAACAATTTTACCAAGTTATAACCTAAGTTTTCTATTTGTATCTAAAATGACTAGTGGGAATCAAACTAGTCAAGCATTTTCTGTAGTTGGGAGAGGTCCTCAAACATTTTCATTCAAAAAAATTTAGATAGCATATGATGACATTCATAGGGAATGTTTCTGATGTTCTAGTGAGCAGCAAACAATTGTGTTTCTGCTACTAGAACAACAGAAACGTTCCATAAAAATTCCATCAAAACACTTTGAAAAAGACCAAAAACTCCTAAAGTAAGAGATGACTCCAAGAATCAAAGAAAAAGACCAATAATTGCACTTCACAACAAGACAATCTGAAAATGCAATGCCAATTGGAAAAAAGAGAACTCCTTATTAAGATATAGAAGCTAAATTCCAAGATGTGTAAGGAGCAGATCCCGTTCAGTTATATGGATGTTGTTACTTCAACTAGTGATGGAACATTGTTGATGGTGTATAAACATAAAGAAGGCATAAATAAGAGAGTGTGGAAGATAGGTTCTTTTATGTTTTCTTCCACTCAATGGTGTGCATAAAGTAAATTTTTAATACCAAGAATAGCTAGTCATTGCATTGACTAGAGAGGTCACAAAGATTAGTCATCAGTACTTAATCACAATAACACTGTTGGCGAAATGTAGATCATAACCAAGAACTCTTAACTGAATAATAAAAAAAAAGAAACCTTAAATCCACACCTTTAAATTTTGCATCTCAACATGATATAGACCATGAAGAATAAAAAATAAAAAGAAGGGTGACCAGGTTAGATCTATGACTGACCAATTCCTGGGAAAATTTGGTTTTTTCCCCTCAGGTGAGATACCATGTATGTGTCCAGGATCTAAGAAAACAGAATTATGTCTCTGTATCTCATATCAAAAACCATTGCAATCAAATTGGACTTATATCCAATTACTGAAATAACTAGAAATCAATATACAATGAAGCAAGCCAGAAATTTAATTTTGCACATATAGAATCTAGAATAATTAGTACTGGTGCTCATTCTCTTGGATAAAAAAAAATAGTTTTCATTAGCAAGCATGGAAAGCAGGACTTTGGCCAAATTTGAAATCCAACCAATAACTTTGTTTCAAAAGGTAAAGTACAATTCTATTAACCAAAAAATATCAGCTACACATATAAAAGAGCCTATATACAATATATGTATTTATCTAGAATAATCACATACAATACAAACCTACAAAGAGTCAATCAAAAAAAGAGGAAGGGGATTCTTTGAATTCCATGCAATGGATAGTCACGAATAAGCCTTTCTAAGGTTTGCTTCTAGTGTCAAGATGAGATTTTCAAATATATACGAGTGTTCGTTTTGTTCCAATGAACATGGATTGCTTCCAAGACGAGACTACACATTTCAGAATTTAATTAACTGTTATCTTAGTGCAAATGGGAATCAACATGGTTCTAATCAATAGAGATCTATAGCCTAGCCAACTGAATCCCTTAAGCTAATCAACATGATTTTACTACTTAGTTACCTATAGAAATTTAAGCAAATCTAGACAAAAAAATTAAGAAGATAACATCAAATTTAACAAGAAGTTCGAATAAACCAAAATGGTTGATAATGAATCTAACCTAATTTTACCATTAAAGTAAACAAACGATGAAATTTCCTTGCTAATATCAACATAAAGGACAAAAGTCCAATCCTAAGGGATAATATCCTAGGTCATAGGGGCTTTCAATCTTACCTTTTGTCGCTGATGAATGAATAAGGATGTGAGATGTGAGAACCTGAGATGAGGAGGTTGTTTTAGAAAAAAGAAAATCCAACAAAGATTATTGGAGAGAGAGAGGGCCTTCATTGAATCAATAAGATTGTGGCGTGATTACAAGAAGTCTATTGTGTTGGGAAATTAACTCAAACTTAAGATGTAAGGAGGTCTCCCACTTGTTACTGCACTCGAGATTCAGAGAGAGATTCCGTTGCCGATGAGAAATCAGAAATGGTTGAGAGAGATATTGGGAATAAGAGGTGAAAATACTAGTTGACTAAGAGAGAAAAAAAAAAAGAGAGGAGAGTGTGAATGCGAAAGAGTGAGTCGGTAAGAAATTAGAAGTGCGGGAGAGGGAAAATCCTGGGTTTCGCGGGGTTTAAGTGGCAATGCCAAAGACTTAAAATTTCTACCTTGTAATATGAAAGGGTGAGTCGATGAGAAATTAGAAGAGTGGGAGAGGGAAAATCCTGGGTTTTACGAGGTTTAAGCGGCATTGCCAAAGACTTGAAATTTCTACTGGCAGTCACCCATCTGCCAGCTAAAAAACTGCTGCTAATGCTTATTTTTCTTGTAGTGCTACTTATGAGGGAAGAGCTAATAATGTATGAATCTTTACTTAAATAATAGAAAGATGTTTTTTTTTTGGGGATATAAAGACATGCCAGGATTAGATCCTAAAATAGTGGTACATAGATTAGTTATTTCTAAGGATAAATGTCTTATAACCTCACTTCAAACCAGAGCTCACCACACAAATTGAATATGAGGCTGGTAAATTGATTAGTGTTGGTTTTATTAGGGAAGTTAAAATCCTACATGGCTTGCTAATATTGTTCATTTTAAAAAGAAAAATGATAAGTCTGCATTTGTCTAGATTTTAGAGATCTTAATGATGCATGTCCAAAAGATGAATTTCCACTACCTATTACAGAATTGCTAGTGGATGCTACTATAAGATTTAAAGCATTGTCCTTCATGGACAGTTTTTCAAGTTAAAACCAAATTAAGATAGCTCTAGAAGATGAAGAGCTAACTGCTTTTCGAATTCTAAATGGGATATTTTGCTATATAGTCATGCCCTTTGGCTTAAAAAATGTTGGAGCTACATACCAACAAGCCATGACAATCATATTCAATGATATACTTCATAACACTATGGAATGCTATGTTGACAATTTAGTGGTGAAAACTAAGAAAAGAGAATACCACTTAGATGATTTTAAAAGGATTTCCGACAGACTTTGGAAACACCAACTTAAAATGAACCCCTTAAAATGTACATTTGGGGTAATTTCAGGGAAATTCTCTAAGTTTATTGTCCGACATGGAGGGATTGAAATTGACCCTATAAAAACTAAGGCAATCTTAGAGATGCCTCCTCCTTGAAATTTGTGGGCATTATTAGCTCAAAATAATGATAAAAAAGGGAAAATGCCCTTAATTATTTGAGAAAAACCTTAGTTGGGGCTGAACACAATTATTCTTCAATTGAAAAGATGTGCTTAGCTTTAGTATTTGTTGTTCAAAAGTTATGACGTTATTTGCTTGCACATGCAGTTACTTTAATTTCTAAAGCTTGTTCTCTCAAACATTTGCTCTCTTGGCTAGTTCTAATGGGTAGATTGGAAAAATGGTCGCTTATTTTATTTGAGTTTGAGATAAAATATGTTCATTTAAAAGCAATAAAAGGACAAGCTTTAGCTGAATTCTTAGTAGCTCATCTTGTGCCAAACAACATTGAGCTTTCAAAAGACCTTTCGGATGAAAGGATCTTATACATAGAAACTGAAAGACCAAGTCAACTCTATTTTGATGGAGCTTCTTCAAAACAAGGTGCAAGAGTAGGGATTGTGTTCATCAGTCCCACAAGAGATTCAATTCCATATTCTTTCTCTCTCACACCATTATGGTCAAACAATACAGTCGAGTATGAAGCAGTCATTATCAGCTTAGAAATGGCTCATGAGATTAATATTAAATATTTACAAGTCTTTGGAGATTCTCAACTGGTGGTTAACCAGCTAAATGAATTATATGGGGTTAAAAAGTTAAGTTTAATCCCTTACTTTAAAAGAGCCAGAGAGCTGATATCCCAATTCAATAGCACACAAGTGGGCTACATTCCAATGCTAGAAAATGATAAGGCTGATGCCATAGCTAAGTTGGTCACATCTCTTAGTTTACCTGAACAAAGACAACTTCAAATTACAGTTGGTGAGAGACATGTTCTCCCCTTCCTAAATGAAAGAGTTTAGGAAACTGAGCTTGTGAACTTTGTCATAATTCAATTAGAAGGAGAAACCTCAGATTGGAGAGTGCCCATAATCAATTATCTACAACATGGGCTCATCCTGATAGATCCTTGAAAGAGTACTGATTTACTACATCAAGCTGAACATTATAGATATATAAATGACACTTTGTATACAAAATCCATAAATAGAATTCTACTTAAGTGTCTTTTTGGAGATGAAGTCCAATAAGCTCTCCACGAAATACACGCAGAATAGTGCAATATACATCAGAATGTCCCTGAAATGGTAGGACATTTAGAAGAATTGGGCTATTTATGGCCCACTATCATCTTAGATGCTATTTGCATCTTAAGGAATTGTGTTAACTGCCAAAATCTAAGGGGTATGTTACTAGAAGCTATCAATGTGAACATGGTCACAGTGTACCAAATCGAAGAAGAAACATATTAGAGACAACCCATTACTGATTTTTTACAGTATGGGAAATTACCTGTCGATATATATCGACATGCCCTACATTTCACTTATTTCGGTGACACCTTATATAGAAGATCCTTTGATGGAATCTTGTTAAGATGTTTATCCAATGAAGAGGCAAGAAATGCATTATATGAAGTTCATTCATGCACATGTGGAGCTCATCAAGCTGGACCAAAAGCTGTAGGACAATTAAAAAGGTTAGGTTATTATTGGCCTATCATGATTCAAGATGCAATAAAATTTGCTTTTACTTGCAAAGTATGTCAACTTCATGGAAATTTCATACATCGATCGCCCATGCCTCTTAACCCTACAACATTATCATGGCCGTTTGAGGCTTGAGGCCTAGATATCATCGATCCTTTGAAACCATCATCTTCAAAACTACATTCATATATTGTGGCTGCTATAGATTATTTTTCTAAGTGGGCGAAGGCAATTGATGTTGCCAACTTCATTCAAAACCATATCATATACAGATATGGAATTCCCTCCATAATTATATTAGATAATGCCCCGTACTTTAAATGTAAGGCTATGATGAAGTTATCTGAGAACTATAAATTCCAACATGCTAAATCAACAGCCTATAATCCATCATCAAATGGACAACCAGAAGCTTTTAACAAAGTCCTTTAAAAATACTTAAAATGATGGTTTCAAAAAATAAAAGAAACTGGCATGAGTGCCTCCCTAAAGCTACTTGGGCTTACCGTACCATAGGGCAGACAACTACAGGATGCACACCATATAGTTTGGTGTTTGGAGCAGAGGTTTTTCTTCCTCTAGAAATTCAGCTACCCTCTTTAAGGATCACAACACAATTCACACATAAAGAATAGAATGTAAGGATAAGACTTGCTGAATCAGAAGTCCTTGATGAGAAGAGGCTCATAGCTCAACAAAGGCTTAAAGCCTAAAAAGCCCAAGTTGCAGGTGCCTTTAATAAAAGGGTGAGATATTGGTCATTTGCAGTAAGACCTATCATAGTCACAAGAAAAACTTTAGGAAAATTTGAACCCAAATGGGAGGGTCCATATATAGTCACTAAAGTCTTCCCAAAAGGAGCATATGAACTTTATGACTCTAAAGGTCAAGTAAAGTACCATTGTGCAAATGGTAAATTCATTAAGCGCTTTCGTGCATAAACCAAAAGAATGCATAAATGAAGACCCACTGATGCCTCTTATGTGGTTAAACTGATGAGACAACCCACCAATGCCTCTTATGTGGTTAAACTAATAGAGAGAATCCACCAATCTCTCTTACGTAGTTAAACTGTTGAGATAATTCCAAGAAAAAAACATTACATAATGCAAAAGAAAAAACAACCCACCAATGCCTCTTATGTGGTTAAACTKATGAGACARCCCACAAATGCCTCTTATATGGTTAAACTGATGAGACAACCCACCAATGCCTCTTATGTGGTTAAACTGATGAGAGAATCCACCAGTCTCTCTTACATGGTTAAATTATTGAGATAAACCCAAGAAAAAAAGCATGAGCATATGACAAAAGAAAAACAGCCCACCGATGCCTCTTATGTGGTTAAACTAATAAGTAAAAACCACCATGTCAGCATGTGGCAAAACTGCTTAGATAAACTACCAATGGTATTAGTATGTGGTGAAATTACTAAAATACCCCATTAGTCGCTCTTTAGTGGCTAAACTATTGAAGCGACACATGAACTACATCGGCTTGATCCCTAAATGGGTATGCAGGAAGCCTAGTGCATAGATCCAGCCACAATATAAAAAAACGTATTTACTTATGGCCTGTAAGAGTATAAACTTTGAATGGCTAAAACAAATCCAATTTTAATTTGGTCAATGATACCATTACCCAATTATTAAGGGTGAAAAGCCTCACCCTATAGTGCCTTAAGAATGGGTACATAACAATGATTCCTTCTTTTTGGTCTCTATTTTGATATCCATAAAGACATTAATAATCCCTCAACTGATCTCTACTATCAAATCTAAAATCAATCTTTTTTACGAGACCAAAAGTTGACCTTTTATCAAAACCATTATAAATCCATTTTCAAATAATTAAATTTGAAGTTGATCTCTTTTATTTAAAAGATCAAGTGTTTTCCTTTCATCAAAATATCATTGCTGTTATGAGGTTGAAATTAATCTCTTATTAGATTTTTAAAATTGAACTATTGATTTTCCTTTTGTGATCAAATAAAGATAATTATCAAGTTTCTTAAAATGGATCTCCTTTATGAGATAACTAAAATCTGAAATTGATCTTTTTTGTGAGATCAAAAGCCTGAAATTTATCAAAGCATTCTTTTGAAGTTATCATCATGGGATCAAAATAATCTTCAATTAGGTCAACTTGACTTAATCTCTTTGAGAGATCAAAATGTTTTTTTTTTTTTCAAATAAAAGAAAACCTCTTAAAATTGATTTCTATAGTCTTCAAATATTTTGATATGATCTCTCTCATGTTCTTAAAACATTTGCATCAAAGGATGGGAAAATTTCATTTAAGCATTAAATCTAAAATTGATATCTATTATAAGACCTTTTTTTCTCTCTTTCTTTCTTCTTTGATAAAATGTATCACATTTAAAAAGGATGAAACAGATATGTATGAGATCAAGTTTTCTTCTTTTGCTAAGTTTGACCTCTTTTATGAGATTAGAGGTGAAACTAATCCTTATAATGAGGTCATTATCATAAAAAAAAGGAAGGGGACCACATGTGAGAAGTCCCTAATCAAAAGATCATCAGTACTAAAAGAAGCTTTAGTACTAAAACCAGAGTGGACATACCTAAAAAAAAAGAGAGAGATCTTAATTTGCTGAAAGAATATCAAAGTGTTGGCAAAGTTGTTAATTGCTTTTGACAACCAAAACATGGACTGTGTTCAAAATAAATCCATAAATCAGAAATTTCAAAAAAGAAAAAAAAAGGAGAGAAAGATAAGAAAGTTTTGCTATGTTTTGCAGTAGACATGTTTCTGATGTAGTGATTATACTGTGAATTTAGATAAACAACATATATGTTGATACAGTGATTATTCTGCGAAGTTGGCTTTAAATAAACAACAGATATGTTGTTTCAATAGATATGTTGATGCAGTGATTATACTGCAAATTTAGGCTTTAAATAAATAGCCGATATGTTGATGTAGTGATTATAGTGCGAATTTAACTTAAAATAAACAACAGATATGCTGATGTAGTGATTATACGAACTTAGCTTAAAATAAACAATAGATATGTTGTTTCAACAGATATGCTTATGCAGTGTTTATACTGCAATTGAGGAAGCAAGTGAAGCTTCTCTTGATAGCAATCAGGCAAAAACAGAAAGTAATATCAAACTTGGTTTAGGGTTTTCTCTCCTCAAGAGAAGACAAAAAATCTCTCTTTGTTCGTCCACCACTTTAGAAAACAAAAAAAAACTTTATTTGTTTAATCACGGATTTTGAAGAGAAGACAAAAAGTATCTCTTGTTGAAAGATTTCAGCACCTCCTTGACTTGAATACTGAAGGAGAGGTTTGCCTTTCTCTCTTGAACCATTGAGAGAGCTTGTATAGTAAAAAAAAAAAAAAAAATAGGAGCTGGAATGCCAGTCCATGTCTTTTATAGCCAAAAGCAGTCTTACAGTCCTAATGTGATTAAGATTGTTTATTAGGGTTAACTACAAAGGTGGGCGTGCAACCCACTTAACAGATTTATAACAACTCATTTATGGGCTATTTTCAAGTTTAAATAAGATACTTTATAATGGCCCACTTACAATTTTTAGTTGGGCCCAAGTACATAGCCTTATGTGACCCATTTAGTGGCTTCACAATAGGCTATATGTGGGTCTCATAACAACTCATGATACAACCCATTTACATTTAGGTCCATTAAGTTTAAGCCCAAGCCTCCTTAAATAAATTAAGAGGCTGGGATCACTTCTAAAAGGGGGTTAAATGCAAAGAAAGTATAAACCCAAGCCCTCTTAAATAAATTAAGAGGTTGGGATCACTTCTAAGAGAGAGTTAAATGAAAAGAAAATGTAATCTGAACCCTCTTAAACATATAAAAAGAAAATATAAGCCCAAAATCTTAATAAGCTTTCAAATTCTGCCCCTTATCATATTTCCATATCAAATGGATTGAAGTTGACCATTAACACCATTAAGGGCCCACTTGATGTTTAATTAAAATTATTCATCAAATAAAAAAGTAAAAAAAAAAAAGCTAAAAGGGGAGTAAATTAATCACATCCGTTTTTGGATGTTATACCAAAAAAATGACCTAGATCAGAGACATAGTTGAGTCTTTGTAACTTTAGGTTTCTGGTGTAAGAATCCTATTCAGATTAGGATTCTTTTGTCCCAAGCAAAAAAAAAAAAAAAATTAATTACAAGATTATTTCCAAAAAAATCCTACTCAATCTAGGATTCCTCCACAAGTCCTACTTAAATCAAGACTCTCATTTTATGAGCCTACAAAATAATCATTTTGGTCAAAACGACTTAGGATCAAGATTTAAGGGAGAATCAGAGGTAATTTGATAAAATCAATGAGGCCTACGGACTCTTCCAACTATGAAAATTTGTGATTAACCCTCAATACTCAAATCAAATCATACAATTAATAACATAAGCGTAATGAAATCGAGAGTCTTAATTGCACTAGGACATCTCAATTTAACAAGATAACTAATTATAAATTCTCATCAAATCAATCAAATAGTTAGATTATATCATATTTTGTCTAACGAAAGATATTGCAAGAGTCCTGATCATATCAGGACTCTTCCAATTTTGGCTCAATTCTTTTCTAATGATAGAACTTTCATAAGTTTTGACTTTAACTACTTATTTGACCCGTGTGCCCATATTGTATTTCTTTCAAGACAAAATTAGGGATTAAATCATATACAGTCTAATTCTCAAGGGTTGATTATCGTTCCCTTAAAATGAAAATAAAGAATAGATGGGTGAAAACTGTCTGCAATCAAATATTCAATTTGATTGACTATGGTTCCCTTTTTGTATGCAAAAAAAAAAAAAAAAAAACAAACAAACAAAGGATTAAGGCTGTCTACAATCAGAACTTCATCTGATTGACTACAACTTTTTGCGAGGAAATGAGTGAGAAGGAAATCTTCTTTGTATCAAAAAGAAAAGAGAGAAATGAATTGTTTTATAATTTCTCATTTGTATTTTTCTTTTTTTCCTTTTCATTCTTGTACACTTAATGTAAAAGAAATGCAAATGAAAAGTTATTTTTTAAGTATTTTATTGGTGAGCCAGGAATACCATTGATGATCAAGAACATGTGTGAGCAAGCAATACAGATATAAATGATGTAGCAAAAAAGAAAGCAATACAAATATAAAGTTATTAGTTCGTCCCTTCTTTTTCCTCATAGAGTCCGTGAGTAATCTCTGTAGCCACGACTCCTATATATCAAGAATATTTCTCCCAACCATGAAAGCTCCTTGGAGAGGTGTGGTGAGATGAGGCATGATAGACATATATAAGTCCATTGGTGATAAATTTTGTAAGTCTTGTGCAATGTTCAGAAAACTGGATTGGGCATAGAATCAGAGAAATGTGAGATTCAACCGAGGTCGAACCAGAAGTCAAATTGTGATGATGTGGTATACATGTATATATATTATGGGTCATATAAATACTGTATATAATATATTTTATCTTTTAATATATTTAAATATGATGGATGAATGTCAAATTCTTTAATTTTTAAAGCAAATGACTAAGGTTTAAATCTCTTAATTTACATTTTTATATGTGTGTGATAAAGTAATATATACAATAAAGAGTTGTTAAATGGATTATTAGGTCACGTGTTCAAATCTAATCTTATCAAACATGTTTTAAAATTTCAATTATTTAATGACATGTGTACTTTGGGTAAACCTAATGGTCAGAAATCTCCTTTTTTTGAAATAAGAGTAATATTTTTGTCATTAGTGTCCAAAAATATGTCTGAACTCTTAAAGTTTAGCTTGTCATTTTATAGTACTGGTTTAATATTAGCCATTGGATGAGTATATAAGTTTGAAGATTAAAATTTTATAGTACTGGTTTAATATTAGCCATTGGATGGGTATATAAATTTGAAGATTAAAAGAAGGTACTCAACTTGTACTTTTGAAACCATTAGCCTCAATCAAACACAGGTTTCAAGTTTCAAGTTTCCATATTATTAAGGGCCTGCCTGGCACAAATAGAAACACAACGCCCTGGTATTGTGTGTCCGTTTTGGGCTTGAAACGCCTCAAAGTGGCAACGCAACCATGCCAAACACCGGCCTAGTTGTTGCATGAAAAATAAACTAACTAAGTGGAGAAGAAATGTAAATTTTAAAACTGTAGGGACAAATTACAAATTTCATAAAATGTGGGGGCATAAGCGCATAAATCCAAAAAGACCATGAAATGAAATAGGGAGAATGACAAAATGTGACAATTTGGTCCTTGAATTTTAAAACGCGACAATTCAGTATTCGAGTTTCTAAATGTGACAATTCAATATCTGAACTTTCAAAACGTAATAATTCAATATCTGAACTTTCAAAATGTGACAATTCAATACCGGTTGTTAACTAGTCCGTTAATCAGCCATGCGGGCCCGTGCCGTGTCATGCCGTGCCGTGGGCTAGATTGGCCCGTAGGCCAAGTTGGGTCATGAATCGAGCCAAAGCTATTTTTGCCTATTTATTTAAGAAAATTGAAAAAACTTAAAATTTTAATTTTATAGGATCTTTGATGTATACAATTGCTTATATATATAATAATTAAATAAATTAGTATAATAAAATTGAAAACAATTGTTTATTGTATATGGGTTGGGTTGGGCTGCGTGCGGCATGGCCCTCTTGGTTATGCCGTGTCGACTTGGTTTGCGGACCTAAAACCCTAGGCCCAACATGATGCAGACCATTGTGACGGGCCTGACATGGCTCGTATATTGTCATGCCAAGCCGTGTTGGGCCGCGGGCGACACGACCCGATTTACACCTCTATATAGAAGAATCAAGAATTTGACTATTCATTTTATTGTCAATGCTTGGATGATTGATAAAAAGAATTTGATGATATTTTTAGGGCATTTTAAAGTTCAGGGACCAAATTATCATTCGAGCCAAATTACAGGTACTGATGAGGAATTTTCCCAATGAAATTTATTAAAGATAGGCGGTAAGAGGAGAGAGAAACAAACTACAAGGCTACAATACAATCCTTCGTTCCCCAAGGGGAGAGAACTGAGCAGAGCACCAGACCTGTGGAATCGAAGAAATCGAAGAGTATTCTTCCAAGAGATCGAAGGTAGCAACGGATTTTCAGATAAGAGAAAAGAAAAAACGATGCCTTCCTCTGAATGATTTGAATTTTTTATTTTTCTTTTCTTTTATTTTTTCTCTATAGAGATCGTACTCCAAACCTTCTCGGTGCAAGCTCCTCTGTCACATCTCTAGTAGTTTGATTATATGCTTAGCTGATAAAATAATCCGCGTAAGATTGACCATGTCCAACTGCTGCAGGATCATTTACCCCAAAGAAAAAGAAAGCTTTGCCAGGGTCTCGTATAAAAACCTATTATTTGGTTCCTCATTGGCCATTAGTTAAAGAACTCTCGGATCATAAGGGAATTTGGTTTCGCACCAATGGCTTTGACGAACTTCGTTCTCACTGTCGTCGGCGTAAGTGCCGCTATTCTTCTCCTTAGGAGTGATGTCAAACAATCTGCTGCGGTTTTCAGGCGCAACGTTCGCCATATTCGCCAGTGGCTCGAAGAAGAATCTACTGCTGCTTCTAAGTAAGCTTTCATATGGTCATTCTCTTTGTTTATTTATTTTTTTATCTCATATTCTCATTTATAGATTACTAAAACTTGCCATTGTTATGAGTTGAATGGTAAAATCGGAAGTACTGAATTCAACTTGTTGGATATGTAGTTCTAAGCTATAGCCAATTTAGAAGGCAATCAAATCAAAATGGAGGTTCTGAGAAGGGTATATACCCGTTGAGGTCATTGCTTGGTTGGATGGTAAAATCTCAGGTTGACAAGAGTGAAAATGTGGGTTTAAGTCTGGGAGGTGCCATTCCATGCTAAAATGCTAGAGGTTAGGTCCGCATCCAACCTGCCCATCTCAAGTATTTGAAGCCCTATTGTGGTGAAGATATTACTTTCCCATTGCTTATTTTCCCTATTTATGGCTATCTAAATTGAAAATTGATCCTTTGTGATGCTCTTTTACACCCTTTATCCTTATTTTACAATATGACATGGATCAAGTGTGCTACACCTAAAATTGTAACACCACTTATAGGGAAACACCAAGGCAGGGGCACAAAGCAACCCTGTCATCAGATTAGTTGGATTTCTAGGAATGCTAATGCTACAATTGATGTTTAAGTTTAACCGGATCTAGGGTTCAAAGGCCATTCTTGTATGGTTACAACTCCTTTTACTATTTTAGCATAGGAGGAAGGTTGTCTTTACATCCTCTCATGAACCTTTTTTCTTTCTTCTTTTTTTTTTGTCTACATTTGATGCAATACATGTGGCCTTTCCTCCCCACCAACCCCAAATTGAAGGGTTATGATGATATATACATCTTTCTATCACAAAGTAAGGTTAGAAATTACTCTTATCCCAGCAGCTCAAATCAAAAGCATTACTAGTCTACTAACCCAAATACTACCTAACCCAATAAAAGGGGTGGTGTTGGGGATGACTTGCCACACAAATTCAGCTAACATCAAATAATAGTGCATAAAGTCCTATTTCCTTTATCTGCTGCTTCTATTCATTTCCCTCCCTCTCCTTATTCTTCTTATCCACTGTCAGTCAAGCTATCTCACTTCCTGTTCCATCTGAATATCAATATAGAACTCACTTTCCAAGCTTCATATCAATAGAGCAAGCCCTTTAGTCTCATGCCCCTCAAAGCTACTAAGCCTAATAAGTTGGATTACTAGACATGCCTGCCCACTCCAATGCAGCAAAATCCTAAGAAGGTATCAAATCCCTATCCATAAATACTTTTTTCCTCCATTGTTTCTCCCTTCTCCTTATCCTCTCCTCATTCATCATCAGCCAATCTCTTTCAGTACTTGTCTTACTATTTTGTAACATAATCCTTCATATTTATACACCCATGATAAAATTCAAAGTAAGAGACAGATCTAGTGTTTGCTTTAGGAAGGATAATCGAAACCTTAGTAAGTTCTTTTAGGCCCCATTCGTTTTTCGGGAAGTGAGGGTGGGTAAGTTGGTGGGTCCCACGGAAAAGAAATAAACCCGTGTTTGTATTTCGGTATTAGTGGGTCCTGTGGAAAAGAACGATTCTGGAGCAGCTCATTTACTTGGGCAAGTAATACCCTCCTGAGACTTTAGGTGAATCACTTACCCATCCACACGGAAAATTGCTAATACTTGATGGGGCAATATTGTCCCTTCAATAATGCCACTTTTTTTGGATAAAATGATTATTGTACAACTTTACTTGGGGAATAAAAAAACATTGGTAAGTGCACTTATTTATCTGGGTAAGTGTTTCCTAGGAAATACTTGCCTGGATAAGTGCATTTACTAAGGCAAATGACTTACCGAGACACGAATGAGGCCTTGGCATTTCTATTCAGGTGGATAGAACAATCAAACGTATCACTCCACCCAAGGTGGTTCAGTGGTTAGTGCCCCATCTTCCATGAACTGTCATTGAGTAGGGATATTAGCCAGTATACATAGTTTTTTTATCAATAACAGAAGTATTTCATTAATGAATAAAAAGATAAGATTTAAATACAAAGGTGGGGGGAGGTAATCTCTCTTAACTCATTTCTTCCCACCCCTAAGTGCATCTTCAAATGAATTGGCACATCTTTTGACCCACTGCAGTCTCACTTCCATTCCCTGAGTTAGCCACTTGAATTGTCTTCATTCATTGATATATGTCCATAACCCATCATTTACCTTCCCTAACCAGCCAATTACCACTTTTGAATCTCCTTCAATGATCAGCCTATTAACATTTAGTTCCTTAGCCTTTTTCACTCCCTCTATCAAGGCCAAAATTTCTGCACTCTGAGTCCCCAATACCAATTGGGCTTGAAAACAGAGCTATTACTGAACCTTCCTCCCATCTAAAAACGCCACCAACCCCTGAAGGCCCTGGATTACCTTCACTGCTTCCATCATAATTGAGCTGATATATTAGCCAATATTTCCTCCATAACCTGATGAGAATCCTTTTTGGCAGGAGCAAATAGTGACTGTATACGCATTAAAGGAAAGTTCTTGGTGAGGTTCCTGTGCAGGTCTCTTGCTGCAAATGAGGTTGAATTAGTTGATATCAATTGCATTAGGGAATGCTTGTTTTCTCCAGTAATTGGTGCATTCATATGGCTAATTTTACTTGTTAAGGTTCCCATAGTTGACATCTAAATAGGGTATTTACATTGCCAAATAAATGCATTCTGTGTAAATCTATTCATAAGTTGGTTGGCCTTCTTTTACCTTTATTTTCCATTTTGGTTAGTGGTGGTGGTGGTGGTAGTCAGGGAACTAATGTATAGGAGTTCAATAGTTCATACATGACCTTGATACTATTAATGTTCCCCTTTCTCAGTTCATGGAACCATCTTCTCCTAGCTGTCAGTTTTGATGGAAGAAATTCTTTTTTTCTTCAATATAGTTCATCCATGGTTTGTTGGAAAGTTTGGAAGAAAGAAATTTTGAAATATTTTTTAGGAAGTGAAATGTTATTTGTGCATCTTTGACCACCCACAACTTAAAAAATGGGAAGCTAACAGTTTTGATTATTGAAGAACCATGAGACATGTCAATAGAATCAGGGTTCTTCATCTCTGAGTCACAAATCAAATGGGATCTTCAGATTACTGATCAATGATCTCTCCCTGCCCTAAAAAATAGTAAATTAATGTAAAATAAAAATCCATTTACTATATATGTAAGAAAAGGGCACCACTTCAATATTTTTGATTGCGTATGATGGACAAAGAAAATGCATTTGCTTAAGTTACTACACCTTTCCACCTTTCCTGCGTGTATGCATATGTATGTGTATGTTGAGATTGTTATGTGCATTGATGTGACTTTTTGATGAGTCACAAACACACACACACATGCACAATGGACCATGTTTTGAAGGCACTTCCAACTTCAAGGTACAAGTTTGGTTCTCTTCATTCCTGTTCTCACTCTTGATCCGCACCCAGCACCCTATGCTTTTGGCACTTAGTTATTGACATTTTCTCTTTTTCTTTAAAAAACAATGAGCCTATGGTTATTGATCACAATGAATGGGGGGAAGGTTGCTGTGGACACCATTTATTTATAGTTGGGCTTCTTATCTTATTAACAATGAATATGAAACTACATAGAATGGAATAGCGAAATAGGATTTATGTAGCTGACCCCATAGTTTGGATAAGGCTTAGATGATGATCTTATTACAATAAACCTACACTTATCTTGATTTTCTTTTGACAAGCCACTCTAAAAAATATTCTCTAAGATGATTATGGATATTGGAATTTTTGTTTTACATTATGTTTGTGTATTGCACTTGGTGAATCATCCAGTGGTTCTAGGACTTGTTGACTTTGATGGTTTGTTCTGGTGCAGGCAAGATTTAAGGCATAATGATCTTATTACAATAAACCTACTGTTTTCTTGAATTTTTTTGAAGCCACTCTAAAAATATTCTCTAAGGAGATTATAAACATTGCAACTATCCCTTCATTAAGCCGGACCTTAGATTTATCAAAAAAATAAATAAACATTGCGATTCTTGTTTGACATTATGTTTGTGCATTGCACTTGATGAATCATCCAGTGGTTCTAGGACTGGTAGACTGAGGTGGTTCATTCTGGTGCAGCCAAGATTTATGGCATAATGAGGAGTGCCTTGTTTCTTATTGAAGGACCTAAAAAGGTTGAATCAGATTCAACTTGCTGTGGGTGCCATTAAGCATTTACATTGATGGATATGAACCTGGATAGAATTAATTAACAAATAGGCTATGTTATGTTATGTAGTGCAGAGTGAATGCAGTGCTAACCCTAAGAACTGAACTTTCAAATCTAATTAAACCTTATCCAAGAATCAGTTTGAGCCCAATCATATGTATCTCAGCCTGAGTAAACTAATATTTGTCCATTGTTTGAATCTGGCTTGGATGGCTGTATCATATCATCATCATCATATGGGTTGGCTATATGAATCCTGTTTCGCCATTCTGTTCTGTTTAATGTTATATCCATTGTTAAATTTTTGAGTGCTTAAATCATTTCTTACTCTTTCGACCCATGTCCTTTTTCATCTGCCCCAGCCCTTCTAGCCCCTTCAAATTGTAAATCTAAGAAAAAAGTTACCATGAGCAGTATAAAAATTCCAGCTTACTTTGTGTTATGCTTATAGTGATGTTCTTCCTATTTTTTGTTATGCATGCTTTTGCAGAGAGATGTGTTTATGCATTACTTAGGGTGCTGCATACATTTTTTAGGCTCATGTTGCCAGAGGCCTCAACCTGGCCTAGGTTGAAGTTGCCATCAGGTTGGGATGGGCTGGTCAGGTTCATATTTCAGTATTGACTATCTAGGCCATGTTGAGCCCCTATATAGGTTAGAGTGGTCGTACAGGATGTTTATACTTGATGCAAAAGTGGGAATAGGATTTGGATGAATGATGATGCCACTGTAACAGAATATGGGTTAATAATAATGCATTATGCTTTATCTAGAGAATGACTATCATAGTAGCTCCAGTAAGTTTGATCCATGCTTTCCAGCCATTCAAGAGTTTATATGGCTAAATTTGGTAGATGTGGAGGAACAACCAATTTTTTTTTTTTTTTTGGATTAATAACAATCAGCTTTATTAAAATAGAAGGAAGCAATTACAAGATATAGGGGAGGTAAAATGACTTTAACTCCCCACCAACAGATTACAAAGAGAAATAAATTAGAAATTAGCCCAAAACAAAGACACCCTATTCACCCCTTGCTTAGCTAACCCATTGGCAAATGAGTTGGCATTTCTTTTCACCCAACTGTACTTCACCTCAATGTCCCTAGCAAGCCATTTGAATATTTTCCTTTCATTGCTATAGCTCCACATGCTACTGTTGTCTTCCTTTAGCCATCTAATACCACCTCTGAATTACCTTCAAGGACCAATCTTCTAATGTTCAGTTCTCTTGCTCTTTGGATTCCTTCCTAAACCACAAAGATCTCGACCCTGAGAGAGTCACCTTCTCCAATTGGGCCTGAATACAAGGCCAGAATAGACCCTTCCTCATTCGAGTACACCCCCAATCCCAAACAGCCTTGGATTTCCAAGATTACTCCCATCAACATTCAGTTTTATGAATCTGGGGGGGGGATCCAAATGGGGCTAGAAATCCTCTTAACTTGAGCAGAATTTTCTATCTCTTTCCAATTTCTCAGCAAGCCAGTCATGGAAAAATCTGTAAAAAAGTCCAATGATTTCAGCTAGTGAACCACCCTTAGGTGTATCAGTTCTGTTAAACTCTCAATTGTTCTTTCCTTGTTTGAAAATATACGAGAGTTCCTTTTCTTCCCATAAGGACCAACAAATTGCTGCCCTGATGCATCTCCACATAATCCTTCCTCTTTTCTTAGGCCAACTGAAATAGGACAAAGAGAATAGACTTTGCACATTCAAGGGGGGGTTCCAATTACACCCAAGAAAGCCCACTCCGAAATAGATTTAGCAAACTGACAAGTAACCATAAGGTGGTAGCCGGTTTCCCCATCAACCTTGTAGAGAGAACACCGATTCGAGGATAAACAAGAATTGGGCCTCTTTCTTTAAAGCAGGTCACTTGTGTTGATTCTTTCCAGGAAAGTTTCCCAGCAAAAAGTACCAACCTGAGGAGAAATAGGCTCACTCCAAGCCTTTTTAACAAGGGCAACCCAAGAGGAGTAGGAGGATGAGTTAGGGTTTCAAAGAAAGAGGCACAAGAGAAGGCACCCGAGTAGGAATGGCAATGGGGCGGGTTTGGGGCGAGGCACCCCCTCCCTATTCCTGCCCCGTAGCCAAAATACCCTACCCTGTTCCTGGTGGCAGGGCGGGGTACCCACTCCATCGGGGACGAGAAATCCCCGAATTTTCCCAGCTCCAATGTAACCACCGAAAAATACATCTTATTGATATGGGAATTTAGGGTATTTTAGGAATTGGATTATTACAATTTGGGAGTATTATAAAATGAAATTGTGGGATCCTAAGGTTTTAAAAATTTGGGGGTAACTTAGAAGTATTTTAGAAATTAATACCAAACCCATGAATATTTTACTAGTTTGTCATCGAGTTTGGGGCAGGTTTGGGAAATTTCCCCATCCCCACCTCTTCCCTATTTAAGATCGGGAAAAACCCGCCCCATTCCGAGTGGGCTGGGGCGGGGCCTGGTTTTAGGGGGAATTTACCATCCCTACACCCGAGGAGGAGGATGTTGAGGAATATCTTGGAGTGGATGTGGATCACTTGAAACCTTGGAGTGCTGTATACAACATGCTTGTTGTATGGATTCAGAAGATTCCTGCGACTTAGGTTTTTGTGAAATGAAATTTTGGAGTAATGAAATGAAACATATTTGTGTAGAAAGCTGGCATATAGATTCATTTTCTTGGGTCTTTTTTTTTTCCTGTTGGGGGAGGGGGGTGTGTGGATTGGTGGACCATTTTCTTGGTTTTGTTCTTAATAACTAAAGTTTGCCCATGCTGATATGTCGAGCCATTAACAATTTGTTGTAGTTGTAGTTTTAGCCAGTATACTTGAATGTGGATGGAAAAACGAGAAGAGGTGACCCTTTGTAGTCATAAGACTGCAAGACAAGCAGACTTTTCATTTAGCAAATGAGGCCAGTATAGGGGATATTTCTAGAATGGATCTTGCAATTGTGAAAGAACCCCAGAAGGCTAGCATATGGAAAATGATAAAACAAGGTTCGAAGTTTTCTTACAATTACTCTATGCATATTTTCGAATCCAGATGACCACCTTTTTGGTGCCCTAATCAAATAATCTATTCTGACCTTCATATGTATCTGCATTGAGATGTTCTGAGATTGAGTTCCATATGTATCTGACCTTCAATGATCAAACAAAGCTTGTTTCTTCATGAATCTGGCCTAATAACTTCTATATGTAATGTACCTTATGGTGGTGTCCTTTCAGGACCATGGAGAAGTCAAAACCCAAGGAATTGGAATCTCAGGTTCCGCAGAAGGATATTCCCAAGGAGGACAAGCACTGATGTTTGTACGGAGGCTTGCAGTATATTAAGAAACAATCTCAGGTGCATCTAGGTTACTATCAGGGTAATGTGCAAAAAGCGTCTTGTTAGCTTTTCTTTTTTTGATGCGTGATCATGTTTATTTAATATCCTGATATCCTCTTTTCTTAGAAAAATTTTAATCTACTTTCTGATGTATTGAGAAAATGGAATTAAAGAAAGCGGGAAAAGGGGGAGACAAAAGAGGCCACTGTTTTGTAATTTACTTGGGTCATTCTTCTTTGGCTACTCTGGTTTAAGTGCAATTGGATGGTTAGTGGTTAGACATGATCAGTGAAATGTACCATTGGAATAAAATGAAATGCCATCTTATATACTGTTCTAGTCATCTAGTTTCACCAGTATGTGATCTAATATCGAGCCTCAACGAGGATAGAATTTCAGCAGTTCTGGACCTTCTGGTTTATAGCGTCCTTGCCAAAATTGTAGGTTTGCAACCTGCGATTCCAAACCTACTCACAATCGCAGGTTTGGGTTCGAGTCATTTCGTCTTGTGTTGCAAATGTACGGCGCGGGTGCTTAGTTTAAACTGGATTTTGGTTTCCACCGTTCCATAACATTTTGATTTTTAATTCCTGAAGTTTCGAACCAGTTTCTTTTGTTCTCCTATCTGGCCGATCTAATTATCTTTGCTTATCGGGTGCTTTGATTAAGAGCTCTGTTGTTCCCCAACCAAAATGTCTGAACACAATTTCAAATAAATGTGCATGTGCACAGAACACATTGATTGACCCTCTTTCCAAGCTACCAATAAATGAGCACGTGCACAGAACTAAGGTTCAAAGTATCTATAAGTATCGGCCCGTATCGTGCCTATGGCTTTCAGAGGGTAGCCGGGTCTTAAACCAATCTCTCTGAACCGATTTTAAAAAAAATAAGTAAAACCTAAAAAAAAAGTATTGTTACAGGCCGATATGCCAATATGTATCGGCCTGTGTCAATACTTTGAACCTTGCACAGAACACAAAATGCATGTTTATAAAGAGACAGTATAGTGTGGATTTTGCCTTCAATATTTTTAATTAACTTGTGGTTTATGGTTGGATTGATTGACCTTCATTGCGGCAAATTTTTTACAATGTTTGAACCTAAACCCTTTTTTAAAATACCATTGAGTTAGCCAACAATAAAGGCTTGTTTTGTAATGTGAATGAAAAATTAGTGGGTCCCTATGGATGAAACCAATTCATATCACACCATTGTCCATAGTTGTTTTGAATTGTGGGCAAAATTATGTAGACATAAACTGTTTACACCCACATGGGTGGTGTGAACCAGTTTTTACCACACCTATTGATTTTATGCATCTCATGTATAGTTTGTGAGATAATCTATACAGCTGGTCATGAATGAAAATTTCTTATATTTTAGCCTAAAATAATTTGGAATAATAATACAATGGCAAGCATACCTTTCAAATCCGATGTCAACTGCCCAAACTAGTATCGAATGTTGTTAGACTAGTGACAAATGGTGGAGGTTGGAACAAAAGTTGAAGAGAAAAAAAAACCTTTGTATGAGAAATGGTGGAGACAAGAGTATAGGAGGAAAGAAACAACGAAGAGAAAGAAATAGTATCTGTAATAGTAGATCCCACTGGCGAGTGAGTGGTGAGACTAAGCGGTGACAGAGATAGCCAAACCAGAAGAGAAGAAAAAGAATAGAAGTGGTAATAGTAGGGTTTCAACAGTCAAGTTTAGTGTATAAGTACACATGTCTAAACCATTTTCGTTCAAATCCATGATATATAACTAGTGATGAGATTTTCATGTGGAAATGATTCTTGTCCATGATATTTTGTAGATGAGGACTGTCCACAGTAACTAAATGCTCCCAAAACTCGTGGATGGGATTGAGACGGTCCTGTCCATGAGATAGACACAAAAAATGAACATTGCCTAAATGACCTTATTAATTAAATCACTAACCTATTTGGTAAGGTTGATGGACCATTGACTCGGGTAAGGCATTTTTTCGTTCTTTTTTTTTTGTATTTTTAACCATTTCCATCATTAATAACAATAATCCTCCTTTTTCACACATTTTTGTTTAATATGACAAATATATAAAATTAAAGACATGTTTAATTTTTAATAACTTTTATGAAATGAAATTTTTTTATCTTTTGCTTTCATTATTTAATTTATGACATTACAAGCTGACTTATTTGATTAGGAGGGAATGTCGTTTCAATAAATTCTTAGAACATTGGCTTGCTATCAATGTTCTCTACCTCATGACCAAATTGACCAGTTAAATTGGTCACTTGTTCATCAGGATTCTAGTACCACTTACCAACAAACTAGTTGTCCACAAAAAAAAAAAAAAGACTTTTTTGGCTTAGCCATTATTGCCTAATTTTTGTATTTCATTTCTATCATTGATAAAATAATTCTTATTTATCAAATTTATTTTGAATATGACAAATATATGATATTAGAAATGTGTCTAACTTTTTCTACAAAATTTTTATATTTTTATAACTTTTTATATATTTCTATCTACTTTTTAAACTTTTATTATTTAATTATGACATCATTGCTTAACCCATTTGACCTAGATAGTTGAACCACCAACTCACCATCTATATGAAAAACCCATTTTGCTTTTGGGCCAATTTTAAAATTTACATTCCATTTCCGTTATCAATATGATGATTGCATAATAGCAAAGATCCATCCAAATGCTTTCTATAACTTTTTTGTATCTATTTTTTATATTTTTCTTATTTAATTATATGCCATCATATTTGCCTTCTGGTTCGACCTCGGTTGAATCTCACATTTCTCCGATTCTATGCCCAATCCAGTTTTCTGAACATTGCACAAGACTTACAAAATTTATCACCAATGGACTTATATATGTCTATCATGCCTCATCTCACCACACCTCTCCAAGGAGCTTTCATGGTTGGGAGAAATATTCTTGATATATAGGAGTCGTGGCTACAGAGATTACTCACGGACTCTATGAGGAAAAAGAAGGGACGAACTAATAACTTTATATTTGTATTGCTTTCTTTTTTGCTACATCATTTATATTTGTATTGCTTGCTCACACATGTTCTTGATCATCAATGGTATTCCTGGCTCACCAATAAAATACTTAAAAAATAACTTTTCATTTGCATTTCTTTTACATTAAGTGTACAAGAATGAAAAGGAAAAAAAGAAAAATACAAATGAGAAATTATAAAACAATTCATTTCTCTCTTTTCTTTTTGATACAAAGAAGATTTCCTTCTCACTCATTTCCTCGCAAAAAGTTGTAGTCAATCAGATGAAGTTCTGATTGTAGACAGCCTTAATCCTTTGTTTGTTTGTTTTTTTTTTTTTTTTTTTGCATACAAAAAGGGAACCATAGTCAATCAAATTGAATATTTGATTGCAGACAGTTTTCACCCATCTATTCTTTATTTTCATTTTAAGGGAACGATAATCAACCCTTGAGAATTAGACTGTATATGATTTAATCCCTAATTTTGTCTTGAAAGAAATACAATATGGGCACACGGGTCAAATAAGTAGTTAAAGTCAAAACTTATGAAAGTTCTATCATTAGAAAAGAGTTGAGCCAAAATTGGAAGAGTCCTGATATGATCAGGACTCTTGCAATATCTTTCGTTAGACAAAATATGATATAATCTAACTATTTGATTGATTTGATGAGAATTTATAATTAGTTATCTTGTTAAATTGAGATGTCCTAGTGCAATTAAGACTCTCGATTTCATTACGCTTATGTTATTAATTGTATGATTTGATTTGAGTATTGAGGGTTAATCACAAATTTTCATAGTTGGAAGAGTCCGTAGGCCTCATTGATTTTATCAAATTACCTCTGATTCTCCCTTAAATCTTGATCCTAAGTCGTTTTGACCAAAATGATTATTTTGTAGGCTCATAAAATGAGAGTCTTGATTTAAGTAGGACTTGTGGAGGAATCCTAGATTGAGTAGGATTTTTTTGGAAATAATCTTGTAATTAATTTTTTTTTTTTTTTTTGCTTGGGACAAAAGAATCCTAATCTGAATAGGATTCTTACACCAGAAACCTAAAGTTACAAAGACCCAACTACGTCTCTGATCTAGGTCATTTTTTTGGTATAACATCCAAAAACGGATGTGATTAATTTACTCCCCTTTTAGCTTTTTTTTTTTTACTTTTTTATTTGATGAATAATTTTAATTAAACATCAAGTGATTAGACCATTAATCCTCCACCTATATAGGAAAGCAATTTCGTTTTTGGATTTCATTTATATAATTAATAAAAATAATTCTTGTTTGTCACTGTGTAATATGGTTAACAAAATAATATTAGGCATGCGCCCAATCTTTTTTACATTTTTCTTTGTTTATTAAAATTTTTATATTTTATCTCAAAATTTTATTATTTAATTTTTTGACATCATGAGTTTGATCATTTGACCAAAATGATTGAATTATTTACCTACCACCTCAACGAAAAAGGAAAGCAATTTCACTTTTTGGTTAGTTTTAAAAATGGGTTTGACTATGACATTGGAAAGACATGATACCAAGAAAATTGACATTCAATCAATTGGTATCATAAAAGACGTGACTAACTAGGTGGTGTTCATCGCCATTTACAGGATGCTTTGATTGGTCAAAGCTTTTCTGGTACCATGTCTTTTTGGTATCATAGATTTTCCCTTTAAAAACATAGGCTTTTATACCATAAAAATGACTGTATGGATTTAATTAGTGAAATTTAGTAATGACAAACAAAAATACTTTAAATATGAAACTTGATGAAAGGGAATAGAATGAACTGAAAGATAGTATTCAAATTGTGATACTAGTTTGGTTCGGTTACATAGTATTTTGGCAACTGAACTAAACATCTCGGATTGGTTACTATGCCAACCGAAGCCAACCGAAAAGTAGCAAAGTCAATGCGTATCATATTGTATCTTTGACTACACAATATGGAAACAGTAGGATTTCTGAATTTTTTCCATTGTACCATCTCATATCAATAGGGTACCAAGGTGTATCGGTAGTGTATCGAGGTGTATCAATGGCATATCGATCAATACACTACGAATTTGTAATAGGCAAAAATTAAAAAAAAAGAGCATTCTTTACTTGCAAATGACTCTAAAAGTGTTATATTTACAAAAAAAAAAGAAACAAGTGTGAATCATCAAGGTTTTTGAACATTATTCAAGATTTAAAAAAATATTGAAAAAATAGGTAAATGTTTTTAGTGTTTCTCATAATATATTATGATTTTTTTTCTTTTTTGTTTAAATGTTTGATAATGTTTAAATCTATGTTGATCTACATTTCTTGTATTAAAAATG